AAAAATGAGAAAATGATCGGCAAATGATCGGCAAAATGATCAACAAATGTGATAATATGAAGTATGTCCACCCTGCTTAATTCCGCTTGGTTGTAGACAACGGAACGACCTGTTAACATTATGAATTTGTACATTTTTTAACCTAAAGCAACAACTTTTATAAATGATAAGAAACCTATTCTTAATTTCCAGTTTTTTAATTTGAATCATAAATTTGATATATTAAGAATAGCAGAGACAAATTTTTTCAACAATCTCTTTCGAATTGGATTTGGCGATGCAAGTATCATGGTTTATTAATCGCTCCATTAGAACATGTATGAAATCAATTGCACATATATGTAATATAAAATAATCGTGGTAATGTTAATTTTATAATGAGAAATCATCGAAATCATCGGAAAATCATCGTGCATTTTATTATCGATCAATCATCAATACGTGTGTGACTATGGATGCCATTGCAGATAATTAGTCCGTCTTTAGTCTTTGTACCACCAGTCTTATACAAAGACCGATCGGAAGGACCGTCAGTCTTGTAATTCAGTCTTTATAAATAATAATTATTTATAACTTACATATGATGTGGAACGAACCGATGATCCCCATCCGTTGCTGCATTTCCCTCTTCTGATATTAGATTATCTTCAAAACTAACATCAGTATTTAAAGCTTCATTTTCATCATAAGGAAAAGTTTCAGCTTCAACTGTTATCAGAGAAGAACCGCTTTCATAATTTATTTCGGTTTGTAAAAACGAAATTCAGCCATTGATCGATCTTTTATATATTGATATTACTTTAAAACCTTAATTTATCAAGCTTAATTAAATAATGTTTTTGAAGACCGCGGTCTTTAAAAAAAGACCAAAGTTTTACAAAAAGACTGCCGGTCTTTTGATTTTATTCACATGAACAGAAGACTGTAGAGGACTGCGGTTATTTAAGTCCGGTCTTTTATAATGTAAGAAAAGACTAGAATGCATCCAACTATTTGTACTACTTTTTCCGACATATTAACTGATTCGCGGCAAATCGTGCTATTACGAGACAATTAAAAGTAACCATTCTTCCCTTTTATCAATTTTAAATACATGGAATTCAAAAACTGAAAGTGCTATGAACGAAAGACGAGCAGCAAATTCATTTTTTTCCCAAGAACTATATGATTAATATAATTTTTTTATTTTGCAATGAAACGATCAGACTAAATTCAATAATCCATGAATTATTTCTAAAAAAATAGAGATCTTCATTTAAGCACCAAAAGAAGATAAGAAAAGATGACAAATCAACAACTTTTATTATGTAGAAGATGCAACACAAAAAGTATAAACAATGAAAATAATGCTAATTCAACATATTTAACCAAAAAAAGAAAAATAATTCACATGCTTTTTATAAGATACAAAGAATGGGATATGCGGGTTGTCTATAAAATGGGATGTGGATGCCTTCCTATTATTCTATCTCCAGCTCTGCAAGATAAGTCTTCCGTAATGTCAGCTGGTATTGCATTCCTTATTCTTGACTTGCTTGAGCTTGTTAATCCTCCATACAGACTGTAGTTATAGAAAGTTTTAGCAAAGAAAATAAGAGGGCAAGATACTTAATTATACGCACTTTTGCTTTTTTTTTTTGTTTGCTTGTGTCAAAATTTGGCAATAAAATCTAATGCTTACTTTAATCCTTTCCTGCTTCGTTTAGTCAAACACCGACCCAAAAATATTTACATCTTATCATAGAACAATCCGTCATTTATTTCTATTATGCAGTAAAATCAATTGAATGAAAGTTCAAATAAAATTTGAAAATGATTCTCCGGACCCTCCGGACCTAGTAATATTATTAGAAACCTTTTCTATTCTATTGGTGAATTTTTGACTTATGGCCTACTCAGATTATCTAGTTTGGAGGTTTTTCTTACGGTTGTATTATATAAAAATAATCAGATTTTGTGGCTACGTGATACGAAAAAGCGTGGTTATCTGATGTCTATTATTAATGATACTTCCTCGATAAAGTGTCATCATTCCATTAATTCAATTCTTTTTTTTAAAAACTGCTTATATATATTCCCCTTATTCCTACTTAACTCTTCTAGAATTAATTATTGATAAAGTTTTCGCACTTAACGTTTAATTTTTGAAATGGAATGATGATGAAGTTTAAATGTTAATTGATGAAAGGAGAAGCAAAAATGAGGAATATTACCTTTTGGAAAGAAGTTGCAAAAGAAATCAAATATGAATTTGTATCAATTTTACTTCTTTACAGTGTCAAGAGCGTGTAAGTATGTGCGCGTGCAATGATCATTTCAAAATTAAAAAAAAATAAGAGATTTAATATTTTGTATTTAATTATTGTTTTTTGGCCATGTTGTATTCGATTTTGCTATTCTGGCTTTGAGAAATGATCATTTCAGGTTGATTAAAAAAGCTGAACTATTATACAGTGTCATTAGCCCTGACATGGGCCAAATCTTTATTGTGATTTCAATTCCAACGATAAAAGCATGTTCCAATATTGTGAAACAATTCCAAGTTGCAATTTTGTTGAACCAAATTCCAATGATAAATCATGTTCCATTTACAAAATCGAGAGAATTTTATTGGTTGCTCGCACCACGACGATAAAATTTAAGAAGAAAAATAAAATAATTTTCGAAGGTAAGTGTTAAACGTTACAATAATAATAATGAGATTTTTATAATTTTGAAAAACATTTAAATGTAATTTTATATACAGTATATATAAATTTAATTTTACATAAATTCATTGCATAAACTACTTTCGTTATCCGATATCATAGATTACATTTTTGTTTTATCTAATACAATAAAGAGCAATTTATAAAAAAAAAACTTCAAACCGAGTGGATCTCTATTCTGTAATATGAAATATTTGTTTTAAAATAAAGGAGAGTTGGTGGTTAAGAAATTGATTTTGAACATAATATAATATACCTGCGGTAGGAATATCATCTTTTAGATCAGCGTCCAAAGCGCCAGCAATTATAGCGTCATGAAAATTTTTCCAAGGTGTAGCGACGTTTTCAAAATCTTTCCCAACTGCAACTATACTCTCAAGGTTCTTGTTAAGTATGGCCATATTGTTGATCACTTGTTCCATTACCTAACCAAAATTTATCATTACGTTCAGCTATTTATGTCGTACGAACGATGAACTGTTAAAAGAAATCTTATTTATCAAATCATTACCGCGACAATGTCATTTATTAGGTTATCACGTTGTTTTTGAAAAGTTGTTCTATCGCTTGATTCCATATTTATATGTTGCTTGATTTCGTTGGTTGAAATTAAGATGTCAAAGATATTTCAAAATAAAAGGTAAAGGAGTAAGTTTTTTAAAAAAAAAAAAAAAAAACGCGTCAAATGATTCAACTCATAATGATGATCACTAGTCACGTGCTAACTTAGCTGATGAGATGAAATAAAAAATTTTTTTTTAAAAAAAAAAACTCGCAAGCATGGCAGAGGTAGAAGAAAAACAAGAAAAACCTTCAGTCAGTGAACATAATGAACCTAATTCAAATAATTTATTATATAGTAAAACCACTTTGTTCGTTCGCAGGATACCATATGATGCTTCAAATGATGAATTCGAAACCTTTTTTTCTGAAATAGGACCACTTCGATCTTGCTTCCTTGTAAAAGATAAAGAACCTAATGTTCCTTTAGCAGACAATTCGATTAATCATGATGATTCGATCGTTTCTCCTATTAATGATAATAAAGAGATGGTTTCTACACAAGAAATACAAAAGAATGACAAAAATAAGGGTTTTGGTTTTGTTCAATTTGTCTTGACTCAAGATGCTGAAAAGGCCCTAAAAGAGTTAAAGAAAGTGAAATTTAGAGGAAAAAGTACCTTGAAAATGGAATATGCTATTAAAAGACATGATGAGCATAGTCAACAAACCATAAAAAGAAAATTCTTGTTAGAAGAAAATAATAGTAAAAAAAAATTAGTAAAAAAAGAGACAAAAGGATTCGTTGAAAAAGTTGATAATAATGTTAAAACCATTGTACTAAAAGGTTTACCTAAAGATTTAACTAGGAAAAAAATTTATAAAAAAGTTAGAAAATTTGGCGATATTCAAGATATGAAATTTCCTAATGGTGAAGATTCTACTGATATCGGTAAGTAGATAGTAGATTGAACTTTGTTTATTGCCGAGAATGATCGTTATTTATTTATTTATTTATTTTTTTGTATGTTAGTACACGTCATTTTTAAAACAACCAAGGATGCTAATGATGCATTATCACATTTGGATGGACACGTTTTTCATGGATCAATGATGAGCGCGAAATTATGGAATACATCTTCAAATGACAAAAAAGGTCGTTTAATAGTTCGTAACATCCCATGGCAAGTATGTTGTAGTATTCAAATAGTATTTTTTTTTTTTTAAAAAAAAAAAATATATTTACTATACTTTTTTATAAATGTTATTAATAGTATCGTGAACAAGAACTTCTAAAAATTTTCTCTAAATATGGAGAAATAATAGAAGTAAATTTGCCGCGTAAATATACAGGAGGTCCTTTACGGGGATTTGCGTATATACAATATAAAAATTATGAAGACGCGGGAAAGGCATGTTTTATAATATATATAGTTAAAATCTTGAATTCTTATTCATAAAACGTATCTTTTTTACAGGCGATCAACGGATTGAATGAAACGAAACATCAAGGACGTACTATAGCTGTGGACTGGGCTTTACCAAAAGACAAGTACTTGGAGGCCATTGAATCGCAGAAAAGTGAGAATTACAATGAAGAAACAATACAGCAAGAACTAGTGCAAGTTTCTGAAAAAGAGGTTGATTATCAGGAAGAGAATGATAATGATGATAGTGGAAGTGATGATGAAATGAAACGAGATGAGGATGATATTATAAATGAAAATGATGACGATTCTGATAAAGTACATGATAAAGTACAAGATAATAGTGATGTATCGGAAAGTGAGAACGATGATAGCGTAATTAATGGAAATCATATTCTCAATGATGACGAAGATGAGGAGGATGAAGTAGAAGCTGAGGACGAAAATATGGAAAGCGCAAGTGAAAGCGAAAGCGATGATATAGAAATTCATGACGAAACACCAAAGAACTTGTATCCTCCTTCTGAGGGAACTGTATTATTTATTCGAAATCTTTCTTTTGATGCCACAGAAGAGGAGCTTTCCGAGATGTACGTTTTGCATATTCTACATTCTGACATTCTTGCAAAGATTAAAATGAAAATTAATAAAGTTTTGATTTAGATTTAAACCATTTGGACCTTTGCGTTATTGTGTTATAACGATGGATCATCAAACAGGACGTTCGCGTGGCACTGGATTTGTTTGCTTCAAACAAAGAGAACACGCAGAAATGTGCATGGATGAAGCGAGAAAAATCAATCAAGAGATATTTAATGAACGAGAAACGAATGACAAGAAAAAGAAACGAAAAGAATTTATATTTAAATCCGTCCTTACGGCAGATCCATCAGATTCATTAGCTAGTAAATTTACATTACGTGGAAGAGTATTATCAATAGTAAAAGCAGTTGATAGAAACGAAGCACATAATTTAATGGAAATGAATCAACAAAAAAGACGTAAAGAGGATAAAAGAAATATTTATTTACTACAAGAAGGAGTAATATTTCCGGATTCATTACCCGCTAAATTATTAACAACTTCGGAAGTTAATAAACGTGTCACATCGTATTCTTTTAGAAAGAATTTGTTAGCAAAAAACCCAAACCTTTATATTTCAAAGACCAGATTGTCAGTAAGGAATTTACCGTTATCAGTTGATGAAAGTACCTTAAAAAAATTAGGAAAAGAAAGTGTTAAAAAATTTAAAGAAGAAGTTGAGAATGAAGAGAGGAAAGATTTAACAAAAAGCGAGAAAATGGAAGGGTGGAATAAAAAGGTGGACGTTAAGCAGGCTAAAGTAATTCGAGCCAAAGATAGAATCGATAAAACCACGCAGAAACCACGAAGCAAAGGATATGGATTTTTGGAATTCACACAGCATGCGCATGCATTAGCAGCATTAAGACATCTTAATAATAATCCGGAATTATTTGGAGAAAAGAAAAGATTAATCGTAGAATTTGCGGTAGAGAATTCTATCATTGTTAAAAAGAGAGCAGGAAGATCAAACAATAAACATATTAAAAATAAATCCGTTGAAGACAATGTTAGCGTAGATAAGAGGAAAAAGGTTGGTGTGCAAATATATTTAGTTTATTTATCTTTAAATATTGTTTATTATAATTGATTTTTTTTTAATTAACTTTAAAAGAATAAAAGTCATGGTAATAAGATTAGGCCGGAAAAGAAGGTTAAAATTTAAGATTACATAAATTAATCATCAGAACATTCTTGAATATAATTTTTTGGAATGTAAGAATCGACCAAACTCAAAAAAGCGTTTAGTGTGCATAAAGATTTATCATTAGGATGATGTTGATCATCTTTTTGACATTCAGGTAATTCTAGAATTCTATCATTACATCTTACACGAACATAATGATTGTCATGAGCCGAAGAAAATAATTTATAAATCCAAGATTTTTCATTTGATTCAAATAATTCCAAAGTGATGTGTGTATTAAATTTTGGCCACCTACGATCGAATGCACTGAACATCGTTAATAAAGGGACCATCGAAGAATCATGACCACTAAATACTGCAAACTTCAAATCTTTCGTTTCAGATTTATTATTGACTTTTGAGAGTATAATGTCCCGTAAATCGATGAGGAAAGGACCCATTGCCAACCTTCTCATTTCAGAGGATTCATGATATCTATTTAAAAAGGAAAAGTTTGGAGCAAGTTGGTTAACTTGTTCAGAGTTGAGAAAGTAAATCCGTCTCATACGTTACCCGTTAAACCATTGACCAGTTGATACATGATCCATTTTATCAATGACTTCATCAGTGAATTCTTTTGGAACGGGAATTCCGTTTGCCTTTGCAGAAATTACAGTATCAAATATTCCATTACAAGAAGGTTTAGAATCGATAGCCACTTCATTTACCATGGATTTCAATTGAGTTGTTAAATATTCTAATTCGGATTTATAAAGTGATTTTGAAGCTTCGTTGAATTGATTGGTTAATTTCATCAAACGGGCACATTTAAAATTTGGATGTAAAGTTTCATTATACATATCCCTGTTTAAAAAGATTCATTAATAAAGATGAATGATTTCAAAATATGTATGTATATCAAAGAAAAATTTTATAAATCCAATAAACACCTAGTATGAATATCTAATATCAATGAATCATCTCTATGTTTTGATGGATATAAACCCCCAACCACTAGTTGTTGTAATGATTCAAATGTTCTTGAATAATTGGTTGAACGTAAGTGAAGTGATTTGTTATTTGATAATGTTTCATCCAGGAATTTTAACTTATCAACGTATAAAAATCGAAGATTGGCACCTAATTCAGACATTGATTTACGACCGATATCCGTCAACTGTCCAAACATGCTAAAACAGAACAGAGCAGGAAAAAAAATTTGAAATCCAATTCAAGAAGGCATATATGTCACGTGAATGCGGGTATAGATACCATGATCCGGGAGGAGACAAAGGTAAGGAACGTGCCAAATGAGAATTAATATCCACTATCTTTCTATAATCAATCTTTTCCACATCGTCATTGTCAAATGGTAAAATCCTTGAAGTAAATTCTTTTGCCGTTTGACATAAATTCCATACTGATGGTATAAATTGCGGTAGACGTGATTTAACTGGTGTACGTTCGCCTATTTAAATTCATAAGTATTATATTTCAAAAAAATAAAATCAAAATATATATTTCTCTCAATTAAATCCTACCATGTCTGTGAATTATTTGAACCAATTTCAATTGTAAGTAGTCGGGATAATATGATTGTAATTTTTCATCATCAAATAACGAAAATAGTGGAGGCATTGCCAAAAAAAGGAAAAAAAAAATTTTTTTTAATAAAAATTTTTTTGAAATTCTTTTTATAGTTTTTTTTTTACAATATAATTCATATTCTTCATTGTCTTATTCTATTGATTTTTAGCTAATAAAACAATTTTATTTTACGTATTGAAATGCATGAGGAATTTTCTGATCATCGAATCTAATGTCGTATATACGCTGATCATCCCAAAATTGAAGGTCAAACGGCATTTTCTAATTAATGACGGGAAATGTACAATTTTAAAAAAGTTTGAAGTTCTATTCAAAATGATATATTTGAATATCACGTTTATATATAATATATATAATATTGAAATTAATTTTAATATGAGTTTGTAATACCAGCAATTATTTTCAAACCATGTGTGGCAAAAAATTTTTTATTTTTGTCGGTTGGATGATATAAATTTTGTGTATATCATAAATAAGGTTACGTATATGTTATTAAAGGTTTTAAAAGAGTATTCGAATATGTATCACAGGAGACTCGAATAATAGTCGAGATTGTGGCACATGTGCCATCATGCATTTCTTGACACAAACTTTATGAGCATATTGTTTAAACTTTAATTATAGTATCTAATGATAAGCTTAAAAACGCGTATAATTCGATGTTGTACGAAATTTCTGTCGCACATTTTCTCTTTTTAGTAACAGAATGGAAAGTCAAAGAGAAGAGCGGGTAAACGATGAATACTTGGAAACCACATATAGACCAAAGTATATAAATATTCTTTCTATAATTAATATATATTTTTTTTATCCACCTAAAAAATTAAACCTTATATGAATAAGAGCATGGGTAATTCAAAAGATTGAATCAATGATTGAAAAATTGTTATTCGATATCGCAAATAAACGTCCTCCCGTAATAAATTCCGTGTCAAATAAAAAACGAAAAGAATATCATTCTAGGTAATTGATTCATACGATATAATATTTACATGTTCAAGAATAACTTTTAGTTGTTTTTTAAACATACGGTAGATACGATTCTAAAAGTGGCATTTTACGAAGAAAAAATAATGATTTGAGTAATAAACAAATTCGATTTTTATCACCAAAGACGTCGAAAACTTTTGCTATCATGATTCGTATACTTGATATTTGCCACGAGCTTTTAGTTCAAAACGCAACTGCTACTAAGCGTGATATTTATTATAAAGATGTTAAATTATTCGGTAATCCACAAACTGTTGATATGGTAAAGTCAAATTATTAATGTTAATTAAAATAAATATTAATGTAAAATATGATTTCAACCTACTTTTTTTTTCTGTTCTAGATAATAGATGAATTGGCGTGTCTTTTTCGAATTCCAAGGTCCTGTTTAAATGTTGTAAGTAATTTAAGGAGGGGGTGATTTATCACGTGTACCGACTAATGGCTTTAACTAAAACTTTTTTCCCTCACAAGATTGCTTCTTCTAAAGGATTAGTGGCTGGTCCTTTGAAATTATTTCAAAACGATAGAATAGTATTGGATTGTTTACCAATTAATGATCAGGTAATTGGCACTTTTGAAGAAGTCGTTTTTAACATGAAAAAAAGCTTACGTTTTATTTCATAAGGGAATGCTTATACCAAATATGGATTTTATTGATAATATCCTTTAATTCTTGTAATTTGTAATATTTGTCATTCTTATTTTTGTTTGTTGGTTAAAAAAATTATTTTTTCTTAACGATCCATAAACGAATTGAAACCAATGCGGAATTCGTCTTGGTCATAGAGAAAGAGGTAAAATTATTTCATTTCATTTTTTGATATAAAATAATTTTCTTTTGTTTAAATTTTATTTTTAATATTTAGGCAACATTTCGATATTTATTATCGAGTAGAATGTACGAACAATTGGGACCATGTATTTTAATTACCGTGCGTAAAAAGATTGAAATAATTTTCAGCATTTATTTTTTTCCGAAATAATAAAAAAAAATTGATTATTCTTTTATACTTTTATACTGTATACTGTATATATATTTTTTTCGGTTAAAGGGAAAAGGCTATCCGGTTTGTATATTGTACGAGTTCGAAATGTGCAAATATTAGCCAGTAAACATAACCTTTCATGCATTATAACTAGGATATTGCCACACGCCAATTAGTTAAAAAATTGGGTGACTTACGAAGACCGTATGAAACGTGCCCATTTCTTCAAATATTGGGCTTTTTCGACAACGACCCATACGGTAACGAAAACATATTAAAGTAAAAAGAATTTTTAAGTTTCTTATTCTTAATCATTTGTTTTGCTTTTTTATTTTTCGATTTAGGAATAGAAATCCTTTGCGTCTATAAATTTGGATCTTCGGTAAATATGACTATATAATTACTAATTTGCGTTTACTGAATTCTAAATTTTTAATATATTATATTAGGCCAAATCATTTGATAATGAAAATTTAGCAACTCCTAGTATAAAATGGCTCGGATTACATTATTCAGACCGGAAAAAGTATATTAACAAGGTTTTCATGGGAATTTTAACGCGATGTAGTATTATTAAACATTCATTCATAGATATAGGATTCCGAGTAGTTCGTTAATCAAAATCACTTTAACTGATAGAAAGAAAGCGTACAATTTATTACAGCGCGATTATCTTCAAGTCGAATGGAGGTAGGTTTGCTTGATAAAAAATATATCCATTGTTCCATCCTACCATATAAAGTTCAATAATCGTAAATCATTTTTTTTTTTAAGAATTGAAATATGTTGTATGTTGTATATTGGGTATAAAGCCGAGATACAAAGTTTGTGTGACGAAGAAAATGAGAATTTATTAAATTATCTAATGTCAAAATTAAGGAACCTGTTATGATCGGATGATGTTTACTCGTCACATCTTTGCATTGAACCTAGATTTTACTTTGTGCATTACCGGTGATATGATTTCCTTGACATGAAATGTCACATATCACCTACATCACAAAATCGGCAAATATATCGGCACAACCTTTAATATCACAACAATTTATGCGTTTTCTATTATGTAGATGATCACCTTATGTAAAACCTTATGTTCCTGTTCATATGTCGAAAATGTACTTGTTGTTTGCAGATTAATAGAAATAACTCTTTTCAACTCATATCTGATTGATCTGAAAGGAATATGATTTTTTTTAAGTGAAAGAAATCTTAATGGGCGTTTTTATGATATTCTCAAGGGATCCACCAGTCACAAATCTTCTAAACTTGGTCGGATATGCGAATCTATGATATCATTAATGCATTTTGTGTTGCTGGCAACAATAACTAAAGATTGTCTTGTGATTGGAAGATCTCTATTTGTTCATTTTAGTTTACTTTTGTGAAATGCTTTCTCAGTGTTTTTTTTCGTGTTTCGTGAGAAAAATTAAAGTTCAATAGAAAAAAAAATTTTTTTTTTGATGTTTCTTCAAGGAAACACTTGTGTAGATGTTTATGCAACATGGTAAAAAAAAATTTCTGTTTTTGGCGTGAAAAAAGGCGGGTCCAAAGATGAGGGGCACCACCTTCCAAATAAACAAATTCATTGTGTGTTTTCAATAATCACGGATTTCAAGTTCAAAATTCATCTTAACATGAAATGAAGTCTTCATTTCAACTATTGTCGAATTTTCCGAACCCGAATCAAACAGGAAAAAAAAAAAAAATTAAAAATCTTTCATTGAAAACAATTCATATTTTACAGAAATAAATTTCTTTATATTGTTAATATTTCTCTTTTTTTTTTTTTTGGTATAAAAAAAGATTTTCGAAAACTTTTAATTTTTTGGCGTTAATTTTTCCTAATTTGGGTTCATAGACCCGTAGTCAACCTTATTCTTAATTATTATTAACGCCTCTTTTTTGTATATAATTGGAAGTGACCTTTACTCGGTACCAATTGATAACCCACGAGAACAATCTCGATCACATGATTTACATTGAAAAAATCTTTTTAGTATCGACCTAATTAGGATTGTGCAATAAAAAATTTTTTTTCAGCCGCATTTAAATTTTAAACATGTTAGATTCAAAGAGAATTCCCATTCATCATTTTTACAACCTATTTTTTCCATCAAATGTACTCCTTATAGCACTTTCTCTTTCAAGTAATTCTCTTTGTATTTTTGACATGATCTCATGAAAAATGATCAAAGTACATTATGATATTGGTCAAGGTATATATTTTACACAAAGTCGGCATCGCATTTTTATTTGTATGAATGCTTGCCGATCATAGCACTTTCAAAATTTTTTAAATTGAAAAATAAAACTAAAATGAAAAAATTTTTTTAATGAATCAAACATTAAAATACATATATATAAAAAAGATAGAAAAACCCAAAAAATAAATATACAACAAAAGGTTACAAGTTTTTGAAGATAGAATGTTTAATAATAAAATCCTTACTATAAAGTACATTATAATGAATATTAAAAAAAAGATTATGTAACTAAATTCTAAATTTTTTTTCCATAGTCCCATAAAAAATAAAAATATAAATAAGTCGTTTTTTTTTTTTAAAAAAAATTATGTAATATAAATCTTTTTTTTAAGAGTTATATCGGGAGTATAGCCTGAATACACGCATAATTGTAGAAGTATTAGAATGGTATTGTGCCTGAAATGATAACATTATTATTTACATACTTGAGACTCTTCAGGCAACGGTACTTCTTCTATGGGACTCTTTACTGGGAATTTATTTATGGTGGCAATAAGGTCAGTCATTCCTAATAAATAAAATTTTTAAGCAAATTAATAAAATTATTACAACACAAAGATTTATATTATATATATTGATTTATACATACTTAATGGTTTTGTAACATATTCGTCCATTCCCGCGAAAAGGCATTTCTCCCGATCTCCTATCATTGCATGAGCCGTTAAGGCAATTATAGGAACATGACCACCAGTTTCTTGTTCAAATTCACGTATTTTCTGTGTGGCTTCGAATCCACCCATTATAGGCATTTGTACATCCATCAATATCTAATTATACAAATATAATTTTAATAACCTTTATACTTTTTCGGCGTGAAATAAAACGTGACAAATACTTACAAGATCATATCGTTTAGCTTTGAAAGCCTCAACGGCTAATTGACCATTTGACACTATTTCAACTCTGTGACCAAACTTCTCTAGTATTTTAACCGCCAACTTTTGATTAACGATATTGTCTTCGGCCATTAAAATGTCCAATGGTTGTTGCCTTGCAAAATCACTTGGAATTGCTGCATGAGATTCAAGTGCTGGTAACATAGCATTCACCAAATCAGGTAAATTCGATGGTGTGCTACTATACGATGTAATACCAAGGTCAATACAATTCTTCATGTTTAATTTAGGTATCATTTGAGCCAAGAGAACTATAGGCGTGTATCTTAAATGTGCAATCTCCCTTAACCTTTCAACTATACTTAAATCATCAACAATCACTGTATCGAATAAAGGGGTATCTGATTTGCGAGATGCCGTTATTATCGCAGTTTCTTCTACTGAACAAGCAATTTTTGGTCGAAGACCTAGATCCTCAATTATACCAACGACACCAGTTTCATCGTGCATGGTGTCGATAAACAAAATATGTCGACCATTCCAAGGAGCCATTTTTTGATCTATTTGGTCTCGGCTCATTGTACCCAAATTTACCTTAACCGTGAAAAAGAATTCGGACCCGTGCCCGTATACACTCTTAACCCACAAATCACCACCCATTAATGATACAAGACGTTTTGATATTGATAGCCCTAGACCAGTACCACCATATTTTCTTGTTGTTGAACCGTCAGCCTGACAGAAAGTGTCGAATATCATATCAATCTTATCTTCCTGAATACCTATACCAGTGTCACGGACACAAAATTCCAAGACAACGTGATCACTAACAAATAAAGAGTGTACTGAGAGAACAACCTCCCCTTCGGTGGTGAACTTGATAGCATTTCCAATAAGGTTCGTTATAACTTGTCTTAGACGTAATGGATCTCCAATAAGTTGATCGGGTATACCATTGTCGACATCGTAAATTAAAGCCAATTTCTTTTGGTTCGCCTTAACGGCAAGCGTTTTAAGAACTCCAAACACAGCAGACCGGAGTGAAAATGGAATTTGTTCAATGGTCATACGTCCGGCCTCAACTGTTTTAACGAGTTCAAAGCAAGTGTGATTAATAAATCTTATATCAGAATACGTATCCATTATCTTTGGTAGCTTTTATTGATTTGAATCGTGCGTAACATCAAATATATATCTTTTCAATAAAGCTTAGCAATTTTATAATTTTATAACATTTTGATTTCTGATCGTTTATCTACTTACTCTTTGAAATATCTAGTATATCGTCGATAATGGTCAGCAATGAATTGGCTAGAGAACTAACGATCATTAGGTTTTCACGTTGTTGTCTTGTTAATTCGGTTTCCAGGGTTAACGTAGTCATCCCGATAATACCATTCATAGGTGTACGAATCTGTATTTAAAAATTAATTCTATAAAGATGCTGTTCGATCATAGACAGTAATACTTAAAACGAGTAGGATAAAAAAATTTTTACCTCATGCGACATGTTTGCCAAAAATTCACTCTTGCTCCTATTAGCCAATTCTGCTGCTTCTCTGGCAGCAGTATTCTTTTGAATACTTTCCCTTAAATTGTAAACCATCTGGTTGATCTTTGTTTTGAGAGAATCCATTTCACCCGAAGCATCAACAGTAATAAATTGAGTGAAATCACCATCTGTCGCTGCAGCGGATATCTGAGCAAACGCACGGACTTGTGAAGTTAAGTTTGCGGCCATAGTATTGACGTTGGATGTGATCTCTTTCCAAGTACCTCGAACATCTTTTACTTGTGCTTGGACTCCTAATTTTCCTTCCGTACCGACTTCACGAGCCACACGCGTCACTTCGGCGGCAAAGGTAGACAACTAATATTATGTTAATTTCGAAAATAAAAGTCGAGAAGATTTTCAAGATTTAATTCAAATCTCGTCCTTTTTATTTTTAAAAAAAAAAAAAAACAAGCAGCGATAAGAGTTTTGGAAATTACCTGGTCCACCATAGTGTTTATAGTGTTCTTCAAATCCAGGATTTCTCCTTTGACATTTACAGTAACTTTCTTGCTGAGATCACCACAAGCTACGCTTTTACAGACATTTGCAATATCACGCACTTGTGCAGTTAAATTTGAAGCCATTGTATTGACGTTGTCTGTTAGTTCTTTCCACGTCCCGCCAACATCCTTGACGTGTGCTTGGACACCAAGAATACCTTCAGTACCCACTTCACGTGCCACACGCGTTACTTCTGCAGCGAACATACGAAGTTGATCTACCATTGAATTTACAGTATTTTTTAATTCAAGTATTTCGCCTTTCACGTCTACACTAATCTTTTTACTTAAGTCACCACATGCCACAGCCGTAGTGACTTCCGCTATGGATCGTACTTGCGTGGTTAAGTTAGCAGCCATAATATTTACATTGTCAGTTAGAACTTTCCATGTACCATGTACATCTTTAACTACAGCTTGCCCTCCAAGTTTTCCTTCGGTACCCACTTCTAAGGATACTCGTGTTACTTCAGTAGCAAACGTTTGTAGTTGATCTACCATAGTATTTATAGTATTTTTAAGATCCCATATCTCTCCTTTTACGTCAACTGTGATTTTTTTACTTAGATCACCGCGGGCCACTGCTTTTGATACATTAGCAATGTCCCGCACTTGTGCAGTTAAATTGGCGGCCATGGTATTAACATTGTCCGTCAGTTCTTTCCAAGTGCCCCCAACATCTTTTACTACAGCTTGTCCTCCAAGTTTACCTTCTGTACCTACTTCTCTTGCTACTCTTGTCACTTCTGCTGCAAATGTTCTTAATTGATCCACCATAGAATTAACCGTGTTTTTCAAATCTAAAATTTCACCCTTAACATCTACAATAATCTTTTTGCTTAAATCGCCTTTAGCTACAGCTGTAGTCACTTCAGCAATCGATCTCACTTGTGTTGTAAGATTTGCGGCCATGATGTTAACGTTGTCTGTAAGCTCCTTCCATGTTCCACCAACGTCTTTGACAACAGCTTGACCACCTAATTTACCCTCCGTTCCAACTTCCAAGGAAACGCGTGTAACTTCAATGGCAAATGTTTGCAACTGATCAACCATGGTATTAATGGTATTTTTTAAATCTAATATTTCTCCTTTTACATCAACAGTAATTTTTTTACTTAAATCACCACGAGCTACGGCTTTGGATACATTTGCTATATCTCGGACCTGCGCTGTCAGATTTGCTGCCATTGTATTTACATTGTCCGTAAGAATCTTCCATGTTCCGTCCACTCCCTGGACTTCAGCTTGCCCACCCAGCATCCCTTCAGTTCCAACTTCACGAGCGACACGTGTCACTTCCGCAGCGAACATACGTAGTTGCTCAACCTGAAAAGTTTAAATATATTTAATATCAAGCAAATCATTCATTCGTTATCATAAAAAAGAAACATATATCTATAAATGGATATACCATAGTATTAATTGTGACTTTCAATTCCAAAATTTCACCCTGTACGGGAACAGTAACTTTTCTTGATAGATCACCACACGCGACAGCTTTACAAACTGTGGCGATATCACGCACTTGATTCGTCAGATTTGATGCCATGAGATTTACATTATCGGTCAGATCTTTCCAAATACCACCAACATCTTTAATATTCGCTTGACCACCTAGTTTCCCTTCTGTGCCTACTTCAAGGGACACTCGAGTGACTTCAGTGGCAAAGGTTTGCAGCTGTAGTTAGTTGAGTGAATTATTTAGATGATGAATTTTATTCCGTATTAATGTTAACAAAAAAGCAAATTTAATATAATTTTACCTGATCCACCATAGTATTAATTGTATTTTTAAGGTCCAAAATTTCACCCTTGACGTTAACAGTAATCTTTTTGCTAAGATCACCTCTAGCGACAGCTTTAGACACATCAGCAATATCACGGACCTGAGCAGTAAGGTTTTCGGCCATTGTATTGACGTTATCGGTTAAAAGTTTCCAAGTTCCATCAATGTCTCGAACTTGAGCTTGTACACCCAATTTACCTTCAGTGCCGACTTCATGAGCTACGCGAGTGACTTCAGATGCAAAGGAATTTAATTGATCAACTACAAATATCAAGTTAATATGATAAGTATAATAAAGTCGTTTAAGCATTTGAATTTATCATTATTAAGAGGAAAACTTACCCATAGTATTAATGGTGTTTTTTAGGACAAGGGTTTCTCCTTTGACTTCAATGGTAATCTTTTTACTAAGATCACCATGAGCGACAGCTGTACATACCTCAGCAATATCTCTAACTTGCTTAGAATGGTTACTGGCCATCATATTCAAATGAATCATCATATCTCGCCAATCACCCTCCAAATTTTCACTTTTAGATTGCACTCCTAATTTTCATTCCTCAACGACCTCACGAGTAACATGGATTAATTCAACAGATACACGATCGACTTTGTCAACCATGGTGTTAATCGCATTTCTTAACGTTAGCATTGGGCCGGATGCGGTTTGACAAGTAACTCGTTTTTTAAAATCGCCATTGGTAATGGCTAATGCGACGCTAGTACATTGATTAATGCATTCCAGACAAACTTGATCATGTTCCAAAACAGGAGGGGTACAAGGAGGACTATCTGGATTAAATTCGTCAACAGTCTTGTTCTGATTATTTATAACTTCATTATTAATGGGTTGATATTTTGCTGTTTCAATGGGATAATCATTCTCAAGAACTGATTGTTTAACGAAATCTTCATTAGGTGTAATAGGTAAGGAACTGTTATCATTAATTATGACAATGGAATCATTTTCACTTAACAATGACTTATAACGAGCGACCTCATTTTCTAAATGAACTTGTCGTTCTAATAGTTTTCTCAAGACAGTATCAAATTTTTCAAGTTGCTCATTTTGTTGTCCTTTATAACATAAATTCTTGCAATACTCTACATTGCCATCATTAATGTTTTGAAGGACGTCGGTAATGTACCCGAGAACGTCCGTCATGTATGTGAATATAATTGGGGTTTTTTTTGTTTACTTTAAATATAAATGGATTTTTAACATACAAGTCCAAACTCGTTGAAATTTTTTAAATAATTTAGAAACCAAAAATAATAAACAAAGTCTTAATGAAATGAAAGAGAATAATAATATTAAGCAAGAATATAAACAATGATATAGATGTATTTTACAAGAGCAAGATTAAAAGAGATGAAAAGAAAAAAATTCCTCTCTTTGAAATAAATATGAGAGGGTTTATAAGTCAGTAAGAAGTAATAATAATAAACCAGCCCAAGTACTAAAGGGTGAAAAAAAAGTTACTTAAAGGTACAAGGAAAAAAATTTGACTATTTATAAAGGATCATACAACAATTCGAATCACCTCTCGACCTTATCCCTTATCCTATCACTTTAATCCAGATGCAGATTTCGTCATAACACATTAAAAGTCCCAAATGTCACTACAATATAAATTATGTCGTATATTCGGATTTTCGCTTATATCCGATTGATTTACACAGCAGTATAAAATAAATATATCACCGTTACCTAATATAAAATAAATAAATAAATAATATACTTATTCGGCACACCGGGTGATATTTGTATCAATCAAAATTATTTCGCATTTTTCAAAGTCCGTTATATTTAATATATATACAAACTATAATTGATAATACAGAGTAATACATTTAACAGTAGAATTTCCACTATAATAAAAAAGAGGGTATAAAATAATAAAAATATACTAATGTAAATAATAAAATAATGAGAAAGGAAGGAATAACAACTAGTATCTACAAATTTACTACAAATATATATACAAATTAAAAATCATGACATGAAAGCAAGAGAAATATACAAATAAAAATTGAGTAAATCGATTAAAAAGCAATTGTCCAAACGGAATAACTAAACAAAAAAAAAAAAAAAAAAAAAATAGGGAGTATATAAATGGGATAAGAACATAAAACGCAATGAATCGTACTATCCTACTCTCTAAATAAATATTTATTTACAATACAAATGTTCATTTATTCTTTCGCTATTTTTTTTTTACCCACACAATTTACCAATAACGAACAACTCGATAACGACATCCAACAAACTGGAATTCTCGATTACCCATGATGAAGTTTCTGGGCCAAGCGTTACGAGCTTGATCCTTTTGTAAAGGACGTGTACCATTATCTTGTGATAATTGTTGTAAAGCGACAGTAGCACTAATTGCTTCATAAAGGTCATGTTCGGTTAAAGGTGATGGTGGTGTTTGATAAGGAGATGTGGGATGTACAGTTGGAGGAGGATACGGGGTGTAAGGATCTATTTGTGGATGACTATGAGTGGTTGTGATATTAGAAGATTTGAATGAATGAGTAATTCCATTATGACGGGTTTTAGACATCAAGTCGACAGATTCGGTAGGTGAGTATTGATGTTTTAAGTCGTAATGTTGAGATGAACTGGAATAAGCTGAATCAGAACCACGACGATCGATAACTAATGATGAGTCTGGATCACATTCAGATGAAGAGTTTTCATCATCACCAAAACTACCGTTCTCTGAGGATTGATGCCTCCTTCGCTTGGACAATAGCTGATTTTCTAACATATTCTCAACGAAATGTAAGTCATCGGCTGTTCTCTTTTGCTTGCGTAAAATAACCAAATGACGATTGCTCTCCATACTTTGAAATTTGGAAAACTGTAGAGGTTGATCAACTGAGGAGAAATCATCATGAATTTCGCACTTTACATTATTAGCATTCTCACCGCCATTTTCTTCGATTTGAGATGATATAATTCTACTAGCTTTTATGCCCTTGTTTTTATTATTAGTCGTGATAGAAATGTTATCTACACGTGTATCTTTTGGTTTGCGTCGTTGCCGCTTCTTGGTTGGTACAGAATCAGTGAGAGTCAAGCGTCCAAATCCGGGCTGCGTCGGATCCAATGCTTGCGAAGGAAACAAAGATCCAAACAAAGGGACAAGTTCCTCGCGAACAACATAACATGTCCGACGACAAAGCTCATATGCCTTTTCATGTGGCATCCTTAAAATAATGTGAAAAGAAATAGTATATTTTAAAGTTAATTCAATAATGATTGAATGAATGATCAAAACAGTTGTAAGACAAAAAAAAAATTGATTTCACAAACCAAGTTCCTTGGATCTTAAGAAATCATCCTCTAACTTTTTTGATGGTTGATGCTAAATCCGGATGTGTATCAACTAATCTAGCGATATCAGCTTTGTTATTCCCGAGGGCTTTCCATATACCAGTAAAATGAACGTATCCATTTTCTCGATCCCACATAATTGGCTGGTCGTTAATGATAAATTCATATACTGATATAGATTGAATGAATTTATTATATAGTGTCAAATGAAAAAAAAAGGAACTAATTAAAATAAAGTTCACTCACCAGGGATATAACCTCGAGGATCCAAAGAAGTTGAATATTTTGTTCTCTTGATTTTGATATTGGTAGCAGGATGGGGACGGTAAGCCTCCGGTTCATTTTTGTTTCCATCGTCGTCGTCAGATACTTGTTGTTTAATGGCCCTTTTCTTTATCATGACAGATTTGTGTCTCTGACGTACTACAGGTGGTGAATTGTCGGTTACAGTTGATTTTTGACCAGTAGCACTTGTTTTAGCGAAAGTTTTTAAAGTTGTCATTATTTGTGACATAAGAAATTGATCAAGAATAGAAAAGGGTATAATGTTTTAAGTATAGACACTAATTTACGATACAAATTGCTCGAAGATATTAAATCTTTGGACAATTAATTTCGAAGGTGAACAATTCGTTAACAGAAAGTCTTAAATACAAGTTTTAGTTTAAGAAAGTGCAAAGTTAAGAGAGATCAAAAGATATTATATGATTTTGGAGAAGTTTTTTTAAAAAAGAAAAGAATGTTCAACGAAACAGAATTCGGAGTTAATCGAAAGTGTTGGTAAAAATAAGTGGATAGAAAAAAACAATTAGTTAATTACAGAATTTTTTTAAAACGGCTTGTAAGTTAAGGAAGGTATAGTGGGGCAGTTGGCAATAACCGTACAAATCGTGAAGCAGAAAGAAAGCACAAAGAATGAAGCTTAAGGTAAGTAGAGGAAAGGATAATATATGAAATAAAAGGAAGGCGCGGACGAAACTTAAAAAAGAAGACCGAGGACAGTTTCCATAGAAGGAGTATCTGGTACCCTGAGAAAATTTAGCCTCAAGATATTATTTTTCCGCAGTAGATTACTGTACCACCATTGTGATGATTAATTCGAAAACTTTCCCCCACAATTTTAGAATTTGTTCGGACAAATCAAACCTTTTTTCCTCCCTCTCATAAATTTGCATTGTAAATTCTAGAATATGATTTATTTGCAATATAAAAAACAATGATGTAACGATAATTGGGAGGGAAACTACGAAATATTAATCTAATTTAAGGTTACAATAATGTAAATTGATATCAATCATCTTGTAGTACAATATTAAGATTATTGTGTTTAATCATGCATCGTTAGATATTTATTTCTAATTATAATTTTGTACTATACTAAAAATAAACATTTGGACACGCGCTCGTGACAAGTTTTATTTATGATTCGGATATAATAAAAAACATATACATAGACGTGATCTAATTATTTCATTAACTCAATGAGTCCCAATTCGTGTTTAACTTGATCACCAGCAAAAGTAGGTGGATAAAGAGAAGGATTCGACTTAAATGGTTCCAATGGTTGCAAGATTTTGTCACTCGCAACGTGAAGAAAGAAAGTGGACGATATACGCCAGAGAGGACGGCCTGATTTGGTTCTTTTAGCATCTTCGATTGACTAAACATAAACAAAAAAGTTAGATAATAATGGATTATGTTAAGGAAACAATAAGTAATTACCTTGATCGTATCTTCTGTTACTACGACTTCATGATATCCGGCCTTTACTTCTCCACCCGTAATCCACTCAAGTTGTTTTCCAGCTTGAACTAAAACAGTGGAGTGATGATATTCAGAGTTGCTTGATTAAATATAACAACGAAAAGTATTTAAACGATGAAATTATGTACCCAAGAGGTGACCGTCCGGTACACGGACCTGCATTTTTACATCTCCATTACGCGGCCAAATATATAAACCAGGAAAACGTGATTTCCCGTGAATCGTCCTAAATTTAATTATTAAGAGTAAATATAAATTTCAGTCACGTAATAAAAAAAAAAAGTTTGTTGTTAGAACTTCTAAAAATTAATACTGACAAGAAATTCAAGTCATAATGAAAACCTATTTAAACGAATTTATTAGAAAATCATCGATAATTTTTCAAATGCAATGCTCATTATTATTTTACCAGCAAAGATGGTTCCAATCTTTCCATATTTGTCTAAATCACTTCCTGTTGGAGCTAATAAATGTGGACCATTTTTTGTAAGATCAGGTAATTCATCGGCACGCATCCCAAACCCAACAGAAGCCATTTCAGCCACATCAAGGACGACACGATGCATTTGATTTCCCCATTCATCCATTATTTTAGGCCATTTATCTTTAAATGCTATAAAGCGAAAAAAATATTCTGTTAATTTTCGGAAGAAAACATAACGATTCCTAGATAACAAACCTTCAGGAATCACGGGATCAGCATTGAGTCGTGGATATTTCGTTTCTTTTGGAATCTCTCCAATTCGCCAAAAGAATCGCCATTTAGGATCGGGACCAGATATAGGTAAGGGTCTATTCTCCTCTGGTAACTAATCGTAAAATTTTATGAATATAAAATTGATATTTTTTCTGCTGGGAGTTATCAAATTTTAATACTTGGCTAATTAGCTTCTGACAGTTGACATCCCGGTTGCATTTAGGTTCTTCCGTGAATTCTGGAGTTACACCAACTTGATATCCAAAGTCCGGACGCGCATCTTTAAGTTTGATCTTGATATTTTCAAAATAGTTTTTGTTATCAAAAGAACCATTTTTGAATTTATTTTTATGAAAAGGAGTTTACCTCTAAGGGCTGAGCGTAATAATCTTCAAGTAAATCCTATAATTAATAACATGATATAAATTGATGATATGTATATATATGTATATTTGAATTATATACAAACCAAAAAACGAGAATTATCCTCTTCCTTTACGCCTGAATTACGAACCAATAAAGCGCCATATTCACGTAAAGCATTCGCAGCCTAAAAGCATTTTTGCTTATTAAGCATAACATTCTGTGTTTACGGTAATGAACTTTCTGATATTTAAATTCACCTTTTTACATTCATTTATTGCTTCTGAAGCTGTTTTATCTCTCGAAAAAAGATCCAAATCAATGATAGGAAGAGTAAAACTACTCATGTTGAACCTTAAAATAAATTTAGAAAAAACAAAATGATTTAAACGGACAGGGATGTTCTGTGTAACATCTCTCAAAATATTTCGCGTTTTTCGTTTTTCGTATGTTTTATTCGATCAACAAACATGGCATCATGAAAAACCTTGGAAAGTCGTCTTATGAAGCTGCTATAACTTATAATTAATAAACAACTTATGTATTGATCAATTTTGGAACCACCCCTACTAAATAAAATATTTATTGTTGTTTTTGTAAAAAAAGGCTTAGACAAGCAGCTTAAAAGCTTCATTAATTTATATGCTTTTGACGTTTCCAGTAAAATCATATGAACCTGAATGATAATAGTAACGGAGCACTTCTGCGCCAAGAATACGCATTAAATGTCTCAATGATAAAAAACTTTGGTCGCGATTCTTGATTCGTGTATCCTATTTCCAATGTAAAATTCCAGGGACGCTGTTGTGGCTTTCAATTCTCACATTATTTTACCAGAGCAAAGCTCGGATACACAACGACTTTGGCAAATAACTCAGTAAGACTACTCACCCCTTCTTCCCTTTCAAGGCAGATTAAATTTTTATAAAACCACCTTGTTTGGTTTTACCTTGCCATAACTAGAAGCATGGATCATCCAGTTCAAAAAAAAATTTCGTTTCGTCACACTCATTATTTAATCGAAATCACGATTTGAATATCAGAATATCTTTAATTACTTATTTTATAAGTAAATTTTTACTTCCTATAAGTTTATAGATATAGGAATCTCAGTAATGACATCAAAAACCCTTTTCCAAAATTTACCTTTTTTCAGAGCAGGTACAATAAAAAAATTTAAATTAAATTTTGCATTTGCCTAGTTCGATCTTAAATAAATCACATTAAACGAACTTTAGGAGAAGCTACACGTTTGTTGTCAACCTTACGGTTTGATTCGAAGGAAGGTGAGCTGCGGTTAGTTTGACTTTTTGACTTTGTTTTTATCGAAATGATTTTGATCATTTCAAGAATACTTTTAACAATATTCTTATCAATTAACATACAACTACTTTTACAGCCTTTAGAAATAATTTAATTCGTGGGTTCGTTACAGAGAATAAACCAGCAATTTCCTCGAGCCCTTCAAAGTCTGCTGACATAACCAAAAAGTCGGAACCTGGTGATTTTGCTCTGGCTAAACCCGCTAATACTGCAGGTAACTTTATTTGTTTGTTCAGTATTAAATTGTATTTGTGTGAAACAACCCATTACTAATAAACTCTCATTTATAGAATATGTGCTGTCTACCGTAGACCAGATTGTAAATTGGTCTCGTCAGGGCTCGATTTGGCCAATGGTAATATATTTATATCAATTCGGATTTTTGTAATAATAAATATCATTTAATTATGACATTTCATATTATTTAGACTTTCGGTTTAGCGTGTTGTGCAGGTATGCAATATATATATATATATATATTTGTCAAGAATTAACAAATTTCTTATAATTGTTCATCTTTACAATATTCAGTTGAAATGATGCATATGGCAGCAGCAAGATATGATCAGGATCGCATTGGAATCGTATTTCGAGCATCTCCTCGCCAGTCTGATATTATGATTGTCGCAGGTACCTTAACTAATAAAATGGCGCCTGGGTTAAGAAAAGTTTACGATCAGGTAAGTTGATAACTTATATGATTTTCCTTTCTATAACTACTTGTAGTTTAATCCTACTTATTGGATATAGATGCCTGAGCCCCGGTGGGTGATATCCATGGGATCATGTGCAAATGGTGGCGGATATTATCATTATTCCTATAGCGTTGTTAGAGGGTATATTTTATTTCATTAGATTTTTTTTTTTTTTTAAAAAAAAAAAATAATTAAATGTATCAATTTATTTATTTTTTAGATGTGACCGAATCGTTCCTGTAGATATTTATGTTCCAGGATGTCCCCCAACAGCAGAGGCGCTAATGTATGGTGTATTACAGCTACAAAAGAAAATGAGGCGTTCTAGGGTATTTAAGATTCGTTTAGCTTCCATATGGATTATGTATTAAAATTAATTCTAATCTTTTCTATTTATCAAGATTACTCAACTTTGGTATCGAAAGTAGTTAATTCAACATCTTGATGTGTTTCCTATTTATTAGCATTAAAAATAGACATTCATGAAGCGATTGTTTAAGGTGAAATCAGAATAAATTCATAATTTTGGTCTCTGTGATCCATACCATAATTTCATATGCCTTATATTATTTATTTCATAGATATGTATACATTTAAGGATTGTTTAATCAGATATTACCATTAACAATTCACCAGTATTTGCTATTTACTTTCAAATAAACATTCATCTCATTTCTTAAAATATAACTTTTAATTATATCACCAAAAATACTTTTCTTATTAGTTAATAATCATTACTAATTATGGTTATAGGTGTTTTAAACGAATTTCAACATAAACAAATATTCTTTAAATAAATTGTTAAGTTTCTTGTAAATGATGAAATTTTGCTTTGTTAATCCAAATTTGAATGATTGTGTGGCAGTACAAGTATAAATTTTCTCAATTTATTATATAATATTATTCTTTCCAATACTTGGATTAGAAGATCATATTACAAGAAGTTTTTTTTTTATTTAGTGTGTTATTTTATATACATGGGTTGTACATGAAACGCATCTCTGATGTACATATATATACACCAAGCTAAAATTATAGCACTATAACTATAATTTAATACAACTTTTTAAATTTGCGTTTGATATTCGGTACAAACACAACAAAGACGTTTTTCTTCGTGAACAGTAATTCACAAACTTTAAGAGGTAACAAAGGAAGTAAAGGGTTCAGGAAATAACACTAAACTATTTTAAAGAAAGGTATAACTATAAAGAAAAGAACAACTTGTTTATTTTGAGATAACAAAAAAAAAAAAAAAAAAAATACCATGACTGCAGAACAAAAAAAAAGAATAAACTATTTTTATGATCGTAAGTAACTTGTTATTCATTAAGTTGTGTAGGGAGGGTTGGTGTTTTATTATCTTTTGAGTTCTTATGAGAGAGCGTTAGCTTTGATATAGGTCAAAATATCAGATTTTTGGGGAGTAAGAAAGCGAAAAAAATTCCTTGATATATCATCAAATTTATATGGTGGCATATTAATATTTTTTTTAGATGCTCTCGGCATTTTTACGCATGGTACAAATCATCCTATGAAGCCTTTTAGAGTGAGGATGACTCACAATCTAGTGATGAATTATGGATTATGCAAGAAGATGGAAATTTTTGTATGGAATTTTAAAGTTTTAATTGATATTATTGTTTAAATACTTGAATTAAATCAAATAATTTTCTACAGAGGCCAAAACCAAGTACAGTCGATGAATTAACACAATTTCATACGGATGATTATATAAATTTTCTGGGTAAGGTGACTCCGTCAAATATGGAATCATGTATAAAAGACTGTACCAGATGTAAGTATTGTACTTTCCTTTGAATTATCATATTTTTTAAAGACTGATGGATCATTCATTTATGTGCTCATTGTTTCTTTTCAGTTAATGTTGGTGATGATTGTCCGGCTTTTGATGGGTTACTTGAATATTGTAGGCGAGCAACGGGAGGTTCTCTCGGTTAGTAAGTGTTTCCTTTGTTCGATGCAATTTTATCCTTTTTTTTTTTTGTTTATTTAAAGTTTTTTTCTGATATTTCATAATTTTAACAGAAGGTGCTGCAAGATTAAACCACGGATTATGCGATATAGCCGTAAATTGGGCTGGCGGCTTACATCATGCCAAAAAACAAGAAGCAAGCGGGTTTTGCTATGTAAATGACATAGTGGTCGCAATATTGGAACTATTAAGGTAAATAATTTCGGGTTAGAATTTTTTTTTATGTGTTTGATAAACTTTTGTAAGAAATGATTTTTTAAATCAAATAGATACCATAAACGTGTACTTTACATCGATATCGACATCCATCATGGAGACGGAGTGGAAGAAGCATTTTATTCAACAGACCGAGTGATGACATTGAGTTTTCACAATTTTGGTGAATATTTTCCAGGAACAGGAGATATACATGTATGTTTGCATTCTCTTCCGTGAATAATATGAATAAGGCAAAAGCTAGGCGGTGGGTTTTTATGGTCGATAACTTTATCATGTAACGTTTATAAATTAATCTTACACACTCATACATTTACTATATAGGATATAGGTATTGGAAAAGGAAGATATTATTCGGTAAACTTCCCATTAAGAGAGGGCGTTGATGATACGACTTATAAAAGTGTGTTTGAACCGGTAATAACCTTCTCGAATTATTATTATTTTTTGGTAAAAATGCGACCATTTTTAATTGAATTAACTTAAGAAAAATCTATTTAGGTTGTTTCACATGTGATCGATTGGTATAAACCTTCAGTAATTGTCTTACAATGTGGCGCAGATTCATTAAGTGGTGATCGGCTTGGTTGTTTTAACTTATCATCTAAAGGTAAAGAAGCGCTTTACCCGTATTTATTATTAAGAATTCAAGATGTTTGTCGTATTGATACTAGAATTAATTATCAAAATTTAGGTCACGCGGATTGCGTTCGATTCGTTAAGAAATTCAATATACCGATGTTGGTGTTGGGTGGCGGTGGATATACCATCCGTAATGTTTCAAGAGCTTGGGCATATGAGACTGGAGTTATTGTTGGGCAAGAAATAGGACCAGGTTTAAAATTTTTCACATTTATTTAATTTTTGTTTTAAATTCAAGATATTAATTGATTATCTTTTTAAATATCAAAAAGGACTACCATCGAATAATAGCGGTAATGATTATTTTGGTCCAGAATATTCGTTGGTGGTTCATCCTAGCAATATGGAAAATAAAAACACAAGAGAATATTTAGAAAAAATCATGTAAGATTTAACTTTTTTTAAAAAACAAAAAAAGTACTACAAACTTGAACTAATTAATCATTAAATTCGTAAATTATAGGATCACGATATTTGAAAATTTGGATCGATCACGTCATGTACCGAGCGTTCAAATACAGGGTTCAACTTATTCTCCTTATGATGTTAATGGTTGCATGGTTGTATGAAATGTTTTTAATTAACATTATACCATTATTTAATAGATATACCGGGAAAGAACCATATATTTGATGATATTCATGAAGATGAAAATGATCCTGATGAGCGAATATCACGTATGTTTCTTCAACGTTTATTTGTGATAATTATTGATGACAATTTAAACAAATATAAATTGTCTCGTTATCATTACTAGAACAACAATATGATAAGCGCATCGTACCGGACAATGAGTATGAAGACTCATCTGACGAAGAAAGCATATATAATTCCATCATTCCTGTTGAATATGGTCCTTCAAAATATGTAAGGTCCTATCGACACAAGATAATTCAAAATCGCTCACACAAGAACCTATTAGATAATTTAGAACCTACAGTAAAATATCCAGATATAATATACCCTCAAAATAATAACAATGGACAATTTTCTATGGAAGTATTAGATGAGGTGATCATGGTAGAAGCTAATAGTCCCAAAACAGACGGGATCGTAGCAACATATCCCGTCCGTGATAAAGTTTATACTATGAAACCAAGGAGAAATGGGAGCATAAGAAGTTATTACGGTCAAGTAGGTTCAAGTAAATGGACTGTAACATAAGTCGATTAATTTTTTTTTAATTATTTTATTAATTTTGGTTCAATTTTACAATTTATATAATAAAAACAAGGCGTAAAAATCCATTTAATTATTCACAAATCATTATATTCTTTTTTATTATTAATATAAAAAGTAATTTATTAACAAAGGCAATTTTTTTTTTTTTTATCAAATGATGATAATATCAATAAGTTTTAGTATAAAAACAAAATAATTCTCTTTTTTATGCTTATTAAGGTTAGTTAAATATGTATGTTTTATAAATTTTATATTTTTATTTGGAATAATAATAATAAGAACGTCCTAAAAATTGACCCCGGGTTTAGGTTAATGTTTATATACATGGGTCTAGGATAAACAAATATTAAATATTAGGTAAGGATAAGTCACGGGAATGTTGTTTGGTTATTTATCACCGAGTTTTTTAGTCATCAGACTGATATTTGAAAATTTTTACTATATAATTTGGTGGCCTCATTAACTCGAGCCTTAATTTTAGATTATTTAGTTTTATATTCTTAATGAGTATTAGTTAGAAATAAAGACCTAAACTATTTTTAGCAAAATATCTAAAAAAAAAAAAAAGCTGTTTCATATTTTATATAAGAAATAACCGCTAAAATAAAAAGAAGGTAAACCTATTAAGATAAAGGATAAAACTTTTAAAGATTAGATAAAGAAGACAAAACTTTGAGAAAGTAAAAAAAGTGGATTATTATAAAAACATCTAAAAATACTGAAATATTAACTAGTATATTCTTATATAAGGATATAAAGATTTTGAAATAGCTATTATGAAAAAAATTATTCAATTAAATAATATTTCTTAATTTTACTTATTTTATATCAATTATTTTTTTTTATATTTTTCAATTTTATAGATATAATATAATTTTATAGATATTTTATTTAAATTTATTTTTAAAATAATAAAAGAAATATTAAATATAAATTATTTGCTAATAAAAATCTTAGTTTATATAAAAAAAATATTATAAAACTTTTTTAAATTATTATAATTTTATAAAAATTATTGTATATTTAAAAAAAAAAATACCTTTAATTTAATAGATTTTAATAGAAATATTAATATTAAACAATTTAAATATAATATGTCTATTAATTGTCTATTAATCTGACATAATCATTTATTAATTAAAACTATCTAAATCAATTTATTTAATTTATACCTAATTGAAGTTAAATCAAAAATCTACTCTAATTAATCCAATTAGATAAGTTCTTAAACATATATAAAATAACTCATAATTTGGTTTTACTAATAGAGGAAAAAAGAAAAAATAAATTCAACCAAATTTAAAAATTTAAAGATCAGTTTTTTACTATTATCTCAAAATTTATTAGTCCAATTTAACTGATCTTTTTAAAAAAAAATATAAGTTTTAAAAATATCTAGGATTTTAATCAGATAATACAAAATTTATTTTAAAAGAAACAATAGAAATTATCTTAAAAAGATGATACAAATCATTTTAAAAATTAATATAATTTATTCTAATGAATGATTTAATATTATTTTAATTAAAAACATTTAAATGAATTTCTTTTAAAAATTCTAATTTTAAATTAAGATAAGTAAATCAGAAATGATTTTTATATGAATTTTTAATATATTTCTTTATTTTTTCTTTATTTTTTTAGAAATACACTATTCTAAATTAATTAGAAGTGATTTTATGATAGAATTTTAACTTATTTATTTATTTATTTTTAGAAATATATCTTATATAAGTCAACTTTAAGATAGATTTTTTTAAAAAAATTTGAATTTTAATAATTATGTAAAAAATAATAAAATTATAAAAAAAATAAATTTGAAATAAATATATTATTAATTCTATTTACTTAGACTGATTTTAAATTAAATTTAAACTAATTTAAATCAATTAATAACTAATTTTATGTTATTTAATATTATTTTTAAACTAATTTTAAATACTAATTATTAACTGATTAACTATTTCTGATTGATTTTAATTATTCAATCAGAATTAAAATAAATCAACTATAAATCAATCATCAATCAGTCTAAAATTGCCTATTTAATTTTTTAACTAATTTGTATTATTTTGATAAGTTTAATTAACTTATTAAAAGTTTTTAATAAATTTAAATATAAGATTATTAAACTAATTTTTGATTTAAAATTGTAATTAAATAATTTATTAAAGTTTTATAATATAGAAGATGATCAGTAGAAAAAAGAAATCCAAAAATTTTGTTAATTTTTTATTATTAAGCTAAATTTATGCATATTATTAAGATCAGCCAAATAGTCTAATAATATATATTTTGACCAAAATTAGGATCTTCTCTTTTTTTACTGATCACTTTCTATATACATTTTTAGAATAATAAATTTATAAAAATTTATTATATAAAATTATTTAAAAAAGTAATCTAAACTAATATATACATAAAATTATTTAATAAAAATTATTACTTATAATTTTCAAATATATAAATAAATTCTTTTAGAATATTATTAATTAATATATCTCACTCATTTATAAATATTTTGTCAAATAATTTTAATTGTCAATCAGAATATGATCTATAGTGATATATATAATTATTTACTATATTTAGTTTTGAATTTTAAAGTTGTCTTATATTTAATAATTAAATCTCATAAATTATTATTACCTTATTAATAATAGGTTCTTTACATAATATTATTATAAGGGTTTTGAAATGAAATTCCTTATCTTCACTTGATATTATATATTTCTGATTTACCTAAAATTAATATCAACTTTTTTATTATATTAAAAAAGATTCTAAGAATTTCAGCTTCTTAATTTCTATATTGACTTTTAGTTATATTAAAAAATCTAACGAAAAAATAATATATTAGAAATAATTTCTGCATATTTTAACTCATTAAATTACATATTTATTATATAAATCTAATAAAATAAGTTTAATAGTCCTTATTTCTTTATAAATAAGTCTAATAATTTTCTTAAGTCTAATAAAATAAATATAACTGTTCTTATTATTTCATAAATAAGTCTAATAAAACAAATGTAATAGAAATTAGTTCTGCATAATTTAATTTATTAATTAGCAATTTTTTATTAAAAGTCTAATATAAATTTCACAAATAAGTCTAACTATTCTAATTCTCTCATTATAAGTTTAATAAAAAAATTTAAATCTAATAATTTCATTTTGCTAAGAAATTTATATGCCTAACAAAAATTATATAATAATAAATTTTGTGTAGGTTAACTTATCAAATAGTATATTATGTATTTAAATCTAATGATTCTACCTCCTGAGAATTTTATATATCTAATAAAAAAATGTATATTAGAAAGTGTCATTGCGTCAGTTAACTTATAAAATAATATATAAGTCTAACAAAAATAATTATATATTATCCTGTAAAAATCCAGAAAAATTTGTGGAATTGTCATAACATTTCCTTAGTCAAGAATGAATTCAATGCAAGTTAGCTTATCAAATGATATATTAATTATAAAAGTTTAATAAAAAAATATAAAATGCAAAAAATTTATCAAATGTTTATTGGATATTGTACTTAAAATTCTGGTTAAAATTAAGATATAGAGCTAACTAAAATGATCTTTTCATTATCTTTTTGTATCTTTAATTGAAATCTATCATAGTATTGGATAACATAATAGTCTCTGATATATAATGAGCATCAGCTACAAATAAAAGCAATTAGCTTATCATAATCAGAACAAAATATATGTTTTTTAGTTTTTCAATTAAACTAATACCTTTCAAGCTAAATGTAAAGTCTATTGCAAATCACTTCAGAATTAATAAAATATAGATAAAAATATTCACTGATCATCCTACATTTTATTACTAGATTTAAAAAAGATTAATAGTAATTAATTAATACTTTAGTTTTGCAAAGGTTAGAATTGTTTAGGAAAGCTTAAACATATCTTTTGGTAATAACTTATGATAAAAAAGTGAAAGGTAAAGGAAATAATTAATTAAAGAAAAAATTTATAAATAAGTACAGTGAACTTTTAATATAACAAATCCTAGGGTCTGAATCTCAACTTAATTATAAGCTATAACAAATTTTTTAAAGAATTTAATTGGTTAGTTCATTATAGTAAGTATATTTAATTTAAAAATTCACTATATCAAGAGTTGTTATATCAATGTTAGACTGTAATAGTATGACAATTAGAGTTAAATATATACTAAATATCTGGAATATATAGAAGAATTTAGTATAAAAATAGCTAATTTTAATCCAATTGGCCTAAATCTATATACCTTTGTCAGAAACTTTACCAAAATATAATAACAGAATTATTAATATTCAAAATAATAATAACTGATGTTTTGAATGATATGTTCTAGAAGTTTTACATTCAGTTAAGATTAATCCAAAAGAAATCTACATTGGTTATATGAAGAATTTGTGAAGAAACTTAATATAGATAACATTTCAGTTTCAATGCCAATCTTATAAAATGTTTGAAAAAAATAATCCTAAAATTAGTTTATGTATCTATAAATGATATAACCAAAATAAATGTCTAGACTTTCATTATATTTTAGAGAGAAGAAAGGATAATTATAAGCAAATAAATTTTCTAGTAATTACAGAGAAAGATAGAAGTTATTATTGTATAATATTGTATAATTAAAGATTTGTATAAGCTAATATATAATCATAGTAAGTATAAAAAGTGAAATATATCTATTAATATTGCTTTCATGGTATTCTAATGAAAAAGTATTTGCAGAGTATAAATGCAAAGGTTTAAATAAAACTTTACAAGAGTCACAAATGCTAGTAAAAAAAATAAGAATATTAAAGCTTTTTATAATCATAAATGCATGTAACTAAACCTATATAATATTTTTTGGATCTAGAAATGTTAATTGAAAAGATAACTCCAGAAGAAAAAATGAAATTAATCTATACAGAAAGATTATAGATGTAAAAGCTATGTAATTATAGTTATATGATTGTTCAT